AGGAGGAAGAGGAGGAGGAGGAGGAGGAGGAGGAGAAGAAGAAGAAGACGAAGAAGAAGAACAAGAACAAGAAGAAGAACAAGAAGAACGAGAAGAACAAGAAGAACAACATCAAGAACTATAGTGTGGTCAAACATTTTTGGCGAAACTTATTGTCAAATATCTCCTCAACTATCGGAAACAAACTCTCCAGCCTTTGCACTGTGGTTTGGATTAATATTTTTGTAGAAACCTGTTAGCCCTATTATAGAAAATTCCTTCATAAAAACTAATAAAAAATCCTAGAGTGTGTTTCTCCCAAAGATTGTACATAACATAATTTTTGTTTCTATTGATTTTAAAAGGTTTACAGCTGTGACGATAATATCGTTTTTAAAAGCAAGTCTGTCATTCTTTTTTCTAATCGCGAGATTATATTTATTGAACGCATGTTTTGAAAACTTTGAGTTTGAGCGCAAAAAAGTGTTCAATATAAAATTAATTTCTTGTACCGGTAACTAGTTCTGCCACTAAAAAGTGTCATTGGTGAGCTGTGACTTGCTGTGACGTAACGCATATGCGAATACACAGTGTGTGTGAAAAGAGGGAAGTGCTGTGAACAATTCTTTTTTCCGCGTGAAGGAGGTTTGTAGTTTTAAAATTAATTTATGAAGAAAATGTTTTTAATTTAGACTCAATTGTTGTGGAAAAATATGATTAAGTTAAGACAAATCGAGACAAACTGCTGTGCAAAGTTTGGTATGGGTGACATTGATTCACCCGTTAAAAAGATATTTGAGGATAAGTTGCCCCACGAATTTTTGACCCACAATATATAAAATCTAGTCTTCTTCTTGTATACCTGGTTTGCAAGTTCCTTCTGTAGACTCGTAGAACATGTCGACCTTGCACAGACATACATGCTCCTCCGCTTGGGCGATACATTCCAAGTTGTTCTTACATTCGCCATTGCAGAAGTCGCCATAACCTGGCACTGTATATGAAAAGACAAACGACATGGGTAGATTCTAGATAAGTACACAGATGGACGAAATATACGAAGGACAACATTTCGTTTATCTAGATACTTACTCGTACTTTTTAATTTTTCATCCTCTGTCGCCGTTAAGCTTTGAGGGCAGGTGCAGATTTCTATGATAAGCCGGCTCAACAGCTCTTTCAATTGGGATACATGTATTATGATTTCTCAAGGTTTACTTGACACCCTCAATCCACATTTTGCGCGGCTTTCCTCTTCTAGATATGTTGTGCATTATGCCTATCTATCTATCTATCTATCTATCTATCTATCTATCTATCTATCTATCTATCTA